GCCCCAGCCATGGCCCTGCCCCCCCCACCCCCCCCAGCCCCCCCTGGCAAGAGGGAGCCTGTGGTGACGGTGGCTGCCCCGGCCTCCACCGAGAGCAGCAGCACCAACCACAGCATTGGGAGCACCCAGAGCACCCCCTGCTCCACCAGCAGCATGGCGTAGTGCCTGGCCCAGAGCCCCAGGGGCCCCAGCCAGCCCTCGTCCAGCAGGAGATGCTGTGCAGTGGCCAGCTAGGACCCACTGGCCAGGACTCACCCCAGGCCCCAGCACCTCGCCACCACCCTATGCACCTGCCCTCCTGCCTGCCTCCCAGAGGCCAGCTGCCAGTGGGGACACCGCCTGGATCAACTGGAGCTCCCCCCACTCCAGTGCACAGAACCTCCAGACCCAGGACCACAGAGCAAAAGACCACTGTCCCCTGCGTTCGTGTCACTGTAGACACTCGGGGCCCTGCCCTTTGGACCAAGACCGTGCACTTGGGGAACTGTGCCGGGCAGGAGGTGCGAACTCCAGCTGGACTCAGCCGCTGTCGCCATCCAGGAGGATGAGGCACCGGCCCAGAGCCACCTGGAGCTGGTCCCTGTGGCCTCTACACTGCTCTGGCATAAAAACGGAAGCTGATGGGTGCCCGGCCTGGGAGCACTGAGGGCCACGTAGAGACCACTTCCTGGCCCATCAGGCTGGAGTGGCCAGGCCCGCCCCTTTGTACCCACCATCAATAAATCAGACAAGAATCCAGGGCCGACCTGGCCTGGGTGAATGAAGAGGGGCTCTGGGGGGTGTGCACAAAAGAATGCTGCTCTGGGATGCGGCCTCAGGACAGGTGGCCAGGGCACAGCGTGTTCGGATTAAATCACTCTTACTGCTTGCTCACTCGGTGGTATGCCCGTGGGACCAAGGAGGTGACAAACCAAACACTGGGAGGCCCTGTCCACGCTCACACTGAGGTTCAAATCAGGCCCCCAAGAGCTCTGGTTCCAGTCCAGGACCTGCCACTTATGTGTGAGCAGCTCCGGTGGCTTCTCAAAGCTAACTACTGGTCCCTCAAGAGTCCAGTTCCTGGTCTCAGCGAGGTCTGCAAAGCAGCGTGAGGTGTACGACCAACAGTTCTGGGCCAGTTTCCTGGCATCACAGCCAGGTCACCCGAGGCTCTATAGGAGGGAAGAGGTTGTCTCTCTGCCCATTCCAGTTCCTGTACTTGCTACGCCCCCAAACCTCAACTGTCCGATGAGGGGACCAGAAACAAAGATCAGTCAGATTTTGCAGTTTCTTTAAAAATAAAATTAAAAGGCTTTAGTTCACTCCAGCTATGCTGCCCCCAGGGTGTCCCAGACAGGGGCCCTCTCCTTTCCCAGAAGGCACTGGGAGGAGGAAATCGATCACCCAGCCCAGGACATGGGAGGGAGGACCCAGAACCCGGTCCGACAGCTCACGTGACAAGCTGGGCCTACACCAGGCAGTGGTGAGGTAGCAGGGGTGAGGTGGGCTGGGCCGGGAGGAGGCCGAGGCTGAGGCACGGGGCTGAGATGGCAGTGTCCTCTCCCAGCCCCTGTTCATGCCCAAGCCTGGCAGATTTTGAAAAGCAGAAACTGAAAGGCACCTGGAGCAAGTTAGTGGCGAGGGGAGAATGAGCGCAGGAGGTCCCACCTCCCACCCCGCCTGTGTCCATGGCTATTGGGACAGGGAGGGCTCTAGCAGCCTGAGGACACTGCCCACCAGGTGCAGGCTGCCAGTGACCAGCACATGGATGGCGGCAGCCTCCTGGAGGACCCTGGCCCCGTCGCTTGCCGTGGGGTGGGAGAGGAGGCCCCTTGGGGGACTGGGTGGCTGGAAGACAGGGTCTCGGCCTTGGCTGATCCATTGCAAGGCATGGGAGACGCAGCTGAAAACCAGGGAGTTGGCACTGCAGGGGTGGGGCGGGTGGGGCGCCTGCAGCAGGGGTGCTGGCCCGCCAGGCTGCAAGGAGCTCCAGAGGTCGGGGCCGGCCTGCTCCTGGTCCAGGTGACTCCAGTGTCGCTGGTGCTCCAGGCAGCGGATCAGCACCTGGTCCAGCGTCACCGTGAAGTTCTGCTGGTCTGCAGGGTGTGGGGACAGGCAGGGCAGCCACGGGGTGGCGGGGACAAGCAGAAGGGCTGTTGGGCCAGGCTTTTCCACACATTGCACCATCAGCCTCTACCCCAGGTTCCCAGTGGACACACAGTGAGAAACCAGCCTGGGCTTGGACAAGTTCTGCTGCCTACCCAAGGCCCGAGGTCTGGCAGGCAGAACCGGACCTCGCCGTCATCAGCAGTGAGCAGTGTCCAGGTGGGCTGAGGTATTTCTGGGAGGCCATTTTAAAATACAGATTTCAGGGGCTGGAGATTTAGCTCAGCGGTGCCGCTGCCGGCCTTGCAAGCATGAGGGCCCAAGTTCGATCCCCGGTACCAAAATAAATAAATAAATAAAATACAGATTTCAGCTGGGCACGGTGGTTCACACCTGTAACCCAGGCACTCAGGAGGCTGAGGCAGGGGGACCACTGCAAGTTCAAGGCCATCCTGGACCACATAGTGACTTCAAGGCCAGCCTGAACTACATAGCAAGACTGTCTCAGAAAAACAAACCACAATTTTATATATTATATATTCATTCCAGAACTCTCCCCAGATACTTGGTGTGCAACCTGAGGATCTGTAATTTTGTTTATAGATTATTTTTATTTCTGATACCAAGGAGCTAATTCAGGTCCTTGTACCTGCCTAGTAGGTGTGGCTACATCTCTGGCCCCTATAATTTTGACACTATCTCAAACTTTTTTTTTTCTCAACATGATGCACAGTATAAGTTTTGTATTACAACCCATTACATATATTCTGGGACAGAATCAGCAAACAGTATCTACCCTTACTTTGTGCAACACCCACTGTTATTTCCTATTCTTCTCTATTTCTTTGTTTTTTGTTTGTTTGTTTTTGCAGTAGTAAGAATTTAACCCAGACTCTTTGCACTCACTGAGCTACATCCTCAGCTCCTTTCTTATTTTTTTATTTTGAGATAGGGTCTTACTAAGTCACTCACTTATCCAGACTGGGCTCAAACTTGTGAACCTCCTGCCTCAGCCTCCCAGAGTGTGGGATTACAGGCGTGCCTTACCATGTCAGCTGTATTTCATTAAAGGAAATGCTGGTCAAACCTCATAAAATTGATTTCAGTAACTTCTTTTTATAATTCTTCCTCAGTATTGTACCCACAGAGCACAAAATTCAAAATGCACCAGAGGGTATTTGTACCATAGACCCAATCAGCCTCCTAGCAGAGCCCCCTCCCATCATCATGGAGTATCTGCCTCGGGCCTCTCAGCACCTGCCGACCCCGGGGGCCACACGTGTCACCCCTCACCTGCATTGCCTGTGGATGACGCCTCCGTGAGGTTGGGGCAGAAGACAGCATAGTCAAACTGGCAGGGCTGGAAGGCCAAGCACTCGGGCTCAGATACCCCCCTCTGACTTCCAAATGCCCAGTCCCCTCCCTAGACTACAGCAAGTGGGCAGCCCCAGCCCCTGCCTCAGTGCACCATGCCTGGCCGGAGTCCTGGCCTTTGTGCAGATGGGGGACCACCCACACTGGGGAAAGAAGGGGCTCTGAACAGGGACAAGTCCTAGCACGAACAGCCTCAGCTTCCTGGCCTGGGAAATGGGAGGCGATCCCCAGGGGCTACTCCCACCTCTATCCTGTAGCAGCCTCAGTTTCCCCACTCTGTAAAGGGCCGCTTTATGCCTTAAAACCCAGTGGCTCCTAAACCAAACTTGAAGCAGTTCCCTTAGGGTCAGCGCTCTCATGGAATGGCTGGCCGAGGCTCAGGAAAAAGCCATCTCGTCCGGCCATGGGATGGTGGCTGAAAGTTCAGGCCCCGGGGGTGTACAGCCTGCCCTCCACCCACCACGTGGCCCTCCCTAACCCCAGAGAATGCTGCCAGACCTACATGTGACCGGGAATCCCCACACCACTCAGGGCAGAGGGAATCAGGCCCCAGCTGGGGACCACACGCCAAGGGCAGGGCTGCTGGGCTGCGCGTCACCCACCCCTCAGCTGAGGTCTCACCTGCAGCAGCTTCAGCAGGGCCAAGGGGTCCCTGTCTCCAGTCGAGTTGAAGAGTAAGACCCGCACCTCAAGCCCACTGTGCCAGGGGACAGGGGAGGGGGTCAGGGGGTGCTGCCCCCACTGGTCCACTCTAGCCCACCTTGAGCTCCACCCTTCCCAGTAGCCCCCTTCCCTCCGGTGGACTCCCCCCAACCTGATGCACACCTGGGGGGCCCCTGGTTGTGCTGCAGCACCTGGTGGAACCAGTGCACGCAGGCCTGCACGCTGCTGACGGTGTGCGCGCCGTCCAGGTACCAGGTGAGGGGCCCGTGCCGCAGCATCTGCGTCCGGCCCGGCCACTCTGTGTCCTGGAGCCCTGGCGGGGGCAGGCAAGGCAGGGCTGGGGATCCTCTCCCACCCTGGTCCTCCACTGTAGAGCGGGCTGCCCGCTCTGAGAATCCCATCAGCCCAGTCACCGTGATCGGAGCTGATCAGAGCCCTGCCTCACTGGGTGGGATCCACTGGGCCACCGAGGGGGCTGCTGCCGTCTGCCCCAGGTCGTCCCACGTGACAGCACGCCGTGCTCACAGCTGCCCTGACAGCAGGTGGGCGCACCGGGTTACACAAACCATCTGCTGAAGGGTCTAACAGCAGGAGCCCCGACTTTGTGCAGAGAACTTGGGGGGTGGGTACAAAAGGTGGCAGTGTCATCACTTCTCGTGACAATGACAGGGATGGCCGTGCTCACAGGCGGGACACCACACCCTACATCCTGCAGGCTCTGGGCTCAGACCCTAGTCTGGCATCTCAGACCTTATAGCAGACTTGGCAACTGGGGAAACAGGCTCGGGCCAATTCGGGAAGTCAAGGTCAGGGAGGTGTGGTGACCCGCGGGCCCCACCTTGAACTGCTCCCTCCACCCACTCAGGAAACCCTTGAGGGCAGAGGTGGTCCCACCGGGCAGGCCCCACTACTCACCATGCTGCATGTGGGCCGTGGGCTGGAACACTGGGGCCAGGGGCAGCTGCCAGCGGATGCTCGGCCCAGACGTCCTCAGCTCCCCGAGGCCTGTCAGGGGCAAGGCCCAGTGTGCTTAGGACCCTGAGGGAGGTCCCCACACTGCCCGGCTGCTAACCCCGGCGCCCACTCACCCCGGTGCTCCTGCTGCCGCAGCCAGCAGTGGACCAGCTGCAGAGCCAAGGCCGCGTTGGAGCGCTGGTGCTCGCCCTCCAGGCCCAGGGTCAGCGGTGGGCCCCCTTCCTCCAGGGCTTCCAAGGGTGGGCACAGGTAAAGAGGGCACTGGGGGAGGCGGGCGGCAGCTCTCAGCAGAGCCTCCACCGCCACCTTGGCCAAGTTTTCCTCCCATCGCTGCCTACCCGCCGGAGCCCACTGTGCCCTGGTTCCAAAATCCAGATGGGCTCCAGGGGCCAAGCGGCTGGCCCAGCTCCTCAGGGCCAATGAGAAAGCACCTCTCCCACCCGTCCAATGGGACTCACTGAAATCTGCTGGGCGCGCTCCCTCAGCACCGCCAGGGGGCCTTCGGGCTGCAGCACCGTAAAGGCAGGGACGCCAGGCTGGGGGCAGGAGGGGGAGGGTGAGGCAGGGGTAGCCAGGGGACCCACACCCTCCCTTCTCCAGGGCCCACAGGCCTGGGACCAGACTGCCACTTAGCCTCTCGTTCCTCATAGTTCAGTGGGGAAACTGAGGCCAGAGAGGAGCTCAACTGTGCTGCAACCACACAGCGGCACAAGGAGAGGAACCCAGACTCAGACTGGGCCAGGCATGGTGGCGCATCACTGTAATCTCTGAATTTGGGAGGCTGAGGCAAGAGGATCACCATGAGTTCAAGGCCAGCAACCAGCCCGAACTACTTAGCAAGACTGTTTCAAAGAACAAAAACAGAAACAAAACGAAGAGCCCAGGCTCTGCTGAGACAGGACCTCAGGACCTCATCCCGATTCAGCAGGACACAAACGGCCCCTCCCCTCCCCCAGCCTGCCTGGGTACCTTAAAGATGCCTCCTTTCTGCCATGCAATCTTCTCCACCGTGTCCCCCAGAAGGCTGGTGTGGTCGATGCCAAGAGAGGACACTCCACACACTACAGGCTTCCTGTAGATGACAGATGGGCCGTGCCGCCTGCCTTGAGCCACCAGGCAGCAGGTAAGGCCTGGCTCCTGACCCCTCCCCTGTCCCCAGGCAGCTGCCCTCACCTGACGATGTTGGTGCAGTCGTAAGCCCCACCTATGCCAACTTCTACCACTGCCAGGTCCACCTGTGGGGAACCACATGGCATGGCAGGGGGAAGGGTGCCTGGGTGCTACCTGGGGGAGGCAGCCACCTCCAAGGCCTCATGAGGGGTCTGGAGTGAGCACGCTACGCACCTTCTCTTGAAGGAAGATGTGGAAGGCCATGAGCGTGAGGAAGCGGAAGTAGGCGGGCATGGGCACACGGCTGCCTTCCTGTGGCACAGGAACACGTCAGGGTCTGCAGCCCCCGCGCTGGAGCGATGGGGTCCTCGCACCGGCAATGTCCCGCCCCGTCTACCCGCCAGCCCTGCCGCACGCGCACCTTGGTCTCCTCCAGCCGATGGTAGAGGCGCCAGAAGTGCTTGGTGAAGAGCTCGGGGCTGATGGGCTGCCCGTTGATGCGGATCCGCTCCCGCACCTGTACCAGGTGGGGAGAGCTGCCGGGAGACCTGGGGTCATCGGGACTCCCCCGCTCCCAGTCCCCTCCTGAGGCTCCCCAAGGTCTGGAGAGAGAGCCCCCGCCCCGGGACACTGATGCCACCCTCCTCCTCACTGTACAATTTTCAACTAAGCAACGCCCCCTCCTGGCCGGGCATGGTGGTGCATGACTGGAATCCTAGCACTCAAGGCTGAGGCAGGATTACAAATTCCAGGCCAGCCTGGGCTACATACTGAGTTCAAGAACAGTCTAAATCATATAGCAAGGCCTTGTCTCAAAGTCTTGCCTCAAAAAAAACTGGAACAGCCAGGTATGGTGATGCACCCCTGTAATCCCAGCACTTGGGAGGCAGAGGCAGGAGGATCGCCGTGAGTTCGAGACCAGCCTCAACACAAAGAAAGACCTTGTCTTAAAAAAAAAGAACAAAACCTAAAACCCTCTCCAGAAAGGAGGAAAAAGGCTCTCAGCCCTGAGATGGCACAGCATGTTCTCTGGGCTCCAAGAGTTCCCTGCTTTCCCCGTCACACAGGGATCAGTCACTCTGCTGATATCACCCACAATGTCCATCTGTCTTCAGTCCTCAAGACTGAAGTACTGAGTACTGGGATGACAGGTGTGCGCCACCACGCCAGGCACATGATGATCTCTTGGTCATTGACAGACCACATGTATGACAGTGGTCCTGTAGGATTATGCCACCTAGTGACATCTAAAGCCATCTAAAGGTGCATCGGCTCCCTCTTGATAGTCACGCAACAAAATCACATAAGGACACATTTCTCAGGATGTCCGTAAGCAGCGCAAGGCTAGATTTGAAACCTCAAAGGTCCTCCCTTCTTGTGGACTCCTTCTCTCCCATTATTTTATCACAATTTGGGGGGGGTGCCGGGTATCAAACTCAAGACCTTGTGCTTATGAGGCAAGCAGCAGAACCACTGAGCTAAACCCCCGGCTCAGGGTCTCAGTATGTAGTTGAGACTGTCCTGGAACTCTCCCTTTATTTTAAACAAAGATCTGTTGAAGGAAAACACACTGGTCTGAATGACCTGGGCCAGTTTCAGATGCTTACAGTTGTGGGTCGATCCAACTGGCAAAATAAAGACCAGGGATGGAGCTCAGCGGTAGAGTACCTGCCTAGTTATGAGGCCCAGGGTTTGCTCCCCAGTATTGCCAAAAAATCCTTGAAACACCAGGTGTGCGTCTGCACGCCTGTACTCTCAACACTACGAAGCTGAGGCAGGAGGACCATAAATTCAAGCCCAGCCTGGAAACTTAGCGATGTGATCACCCATTTAAAAGAAAAAGACCTGGGTTCGAATGACACCCCCCCAAAAAAAAACCCCTAAAAATAAATGATAAAATTAAAAAGTAAAAACTTCAAATGCTCCAACCCCAAGGAATAAGTCCTGAGTAAATCACCACTGAGTTAATGCCTTGGTTTTACAAGTGACCGGCTTAGGGCAGCTGTGCTTTAAGTACAGGACCCAGGCTCCACCTCCACCCAGGTCCCCATGTAGGAGTCTTGTTGCCTGAGTTCCACCGACAGGGGGCGCTGCCTCCGAGTTAGCAGCTAAGCTAAGGCTACAAGATCTCTGTCCCTGTCCTCGCCCCCCCACCAGACCTTGACATGAACATCACAAACTACTTTCACTTCTTTTTCTTTTTTTTTTTTTTTTGGTACTGGGGATTGAACTCAGGTTGAGCTGAGGCAGGTGGCAGCACCACTGAGCTAAATCCCCGGCAGTCTCTCTCTTTTGTTTTGGAGACAGGGTTTCATAGTTCAGGCTGGCCTTGAACTCAATGCAATCCTCCTGACTCAGCCTCACTGCTGAGATAAAAGCTGTTTACCACACCAGACTTTCCCTTCACCTTTAAGCCCTTCCACGCTAGGTTTCTGCTTCTTTTAGCAAAGACATTCTAACTGAAATCATGTCTGTGTGTCTTAAAGATTATATGTGGAATCTAAATAAAAAGACATCTGACTATTCCAGCCATGTATTTAGCTCACACATTCAAGTTTCCAATAGTTTTTTCATTACGAAAACTAAGGACTAGCTGGGCATGGTGGCGCATGCCTGTGATCCCAGTACTTGGGAGGCTGAGGCAGGAGGATAGCTGTGAGTTTGAGACCACACTGGGCTACAGTGAGACCCTATCTCAAAAAACAAAAAAAAAAAAAAAAGAAAGAAAAAGAAAACTAAGGACTGCTATCAACTTGGGCTATGTTTGTCGAATGAATAAACACTGCATGGGGCTGACCCTCCCCTAGGTAGCCCCGGGGTCACAGTTCCCCAGAGAGCTCAGAGACACATCCCCCCACCAACTCAGTACCTAAAGAATCCGGTCTTCAGGCCGTAATTCCGGAGGATACGCTCGGTGAAGGCACAGGTAGAACCCTGCAGGGGAAAGGCACCGTGTGGGCAGGCCCCACCCTCCAGCCCACCTGCTGGACCCGATCCCTGGGTCCTGCCCCTCACCTTCCCCTTGGTCCCAGTGACGTGAATGATGTTCAGCTGGTCCAAGTCCTCCACCTGGGACAGCGAAAACAGCCCACCTCAGCCACGAGACCCAGACCGATGAGCTCGGGCGGTCCTCAGCCCTCCCTACCTTACCTGCAGCCCGCTCCGTGCCAGAAACTGCTCCATGGCTTCCAGCTGTTTCTGGGGGTCACCCCGCCGGCGCTTCACCTGCTCCAGGTAACTGGCGTTGGTCTGCAGGGTGTTGAGTGTGCGCACTGCATCCTGCAACAACCACAGCACCCAGGGGACAAGTTAGAGGGCCAAGGGTCCTCAGAGCCAGAGGCATTCGCACACCAGCAGCCAGGCTGGCGCCCCAGACCTCCTGTGCCAGCCTACGGGCTGAGCAGTGGGGAGTGAGCAGTGGCATCATTCCAACTCTGGCAAAGATAGAAGCCTGGGGCAATTCAGCCCCACCCAGGGAGTGCCAGGTAAGAAGGTGGCAAGACTAACGGAGCTAGCACCGCGTCCTGCTCGGGCTCCCCAGGCTTTACTTCCTGAGCCTTTCCCCTCAGTCCTCCATCGATATGCTGGGCCTTTACTGGGCTCAGGCCAGAACCCAGGAAGGCTGGGGACTTAGAATTCTGGGGCTCCTGTGCCCTAGCCTGAGAATCTGGGGTTCCACATTCTGACCCCGTGAACAGCTGCTTTAATTAAAACAAACAGAGGAAGAGACTCCAAGGGTACAGGGTGTGCCCAGGACTCCAGCCAGAAGAGGCAGGTGGATACAGCCTCAGGAAACACCACCCTGGCCGGGCAAGAGTGGAGGGACGGGAAGTTCCTCCGTTTGCTTCCCCCGGGACTCGATCCCATCTCTCTTGCCCTCACGGCTGGTTGGAGGTCCTAACTCCCCTAAAACCAGCGACACCTGCCTGGCTGGTCTTAGGTTCTGGCCTCTGGCAACTGGCGCCAGGCGCAGCAGCTGCAGATCTACTCCGTTCTCCAGATTCTTGGCCCTCCAGTGCCGGGTCTGACCCACTCCTCAATTCCAGGCATTTAGACCCCTACAGCTGGGGCTCCGCCCCCAAATCTACATCTTTGGTTCTTTCAAGTCCGAACTCAGAATCCCTTCCTCTGCTTTCTCAACTCCGCGATGCCGGGTTCAGACTCCGTGGTCACTGGAACTTCGGAGCCCAAACGAGCCTCTGGACCACTGCCACCTATCACCAGTGCGGAACCCAACAGCCTGCGTTCCCAGATTCCGGACCCAACTTCCTGGTCCCTGTCCCTACACCCCCGACCCCAAGATGTCCCCCCACCGACGACTTCCCCAGTCCCGTTCTCCCGGTTCTCATAAGAGCTGGTGGAGCCCGGATGCTGCGGGCCCCAGGCCCGGCCCACGTGTCACCACAATACCGCCCGCCTCCTGGCCGGGTACCTGGTACTCCATGCCCGGCTCCTGCGGGGCCGGCCACACGCTCAATCCCCGCGGCGCCGAGACCTGGGTCGTTGCACCGCGCTTAGAAACAGCTACCAGGGACAGAGCCGCGCGCAGGCGGTTCCGCGTCCTCGACATAGTCTTGGTGCGCTAGTGAACTAGGCCAGCGCGGCGGGAACCTCCCCGCCTGCCCCGCCCATCCTGGACACGCCCCTTCCCCGCCCCGCCCCTACCCTCCACCAACCAGCGCCTCCCAAGACCCCCACCGGCACCAATAAGAGCCGGCGCCTTCGCGGGGGCCACCTTTGTGAGGGGCAGGGGGCGGGGCGGCCGGGTGGTACCGCCATGCTTGTGCGGGCCGCGCTCCGGTGACTCCTCTTTTATTTTATTCTTTTTAGTACCGGGGATCAAACTGGGGTTCTTGCGCTCGTGAGGCAGGCGCCGGAACCACTGAGCTAAACCCCGGCCCGACCCCTCTCTTTTAAAGGGACACGCACTCCTTTCGTCTCTACCCTCCCTAGAACCTTGCAGTCCAAAACTAGCCAGGCGTAGCCACCATCCCTCAGCTCCTGCTCTAGCTCTGAAACATTCCTGCGCCGGGATAGAATGACCGAGCTGGTGACAGAAAGAGGTCGCGACTTCGCAGCTGAGACCTGTAGGGTGCGACTAGAGGCTCCCAAGCAAAGGGTGGCAGCTGTGAGAGGAAAACAATGATTTCAGAGAGGAGTGGGCACTTGGGGGCTGGTTCCACATGGCTGCCCCCTACCCGGAAGGAATTTGGATTAAATGTGGCTGACATTAACTTGGCTTTTTGGAGGAAAGCCATGCCCAGATTGGCATTTTGGAAGCTCCCTGGGGCTACTGCTGTGTGGAGAATCGATCTGAGGATCAGCTGGGGGCCGGGACAGTAATCTTTAATACCGATGGGTGAAGAGGACCCCCATTTGTGCTAACGGGAACAGGGAGCCTGGAGAAATCTTGTAACAATGGAGGCCCAGAAGTAGGGAAGAGGTATTGTAAACCTGCTAGGAAAAACCCCTCAGATAACTGGCAATCTGCCAAATGACTAATGGGTTTACAAAACCTCCCTCTTCCCTGCACTGGGATTTATTGGATTGTTTGAAGGTCTGGGCATGGTGGGTTAGGGTGTGATGGCACAGGCCTGTAATCTCAGCACTAGGCTCAGGGGGAGGCTTTGGAATTCCAGACCAGCCAGATCCTGGCCCATAAATAAATAAATCTCTACTGGGCGTGGTGGCACATGCCTGTAATCCCAGCACTCAGGAGGCTTAGGCAGGAGGATCACTGTGAGTTAGAGACCAGCCTGGACTCCATAGTGAGTTCCAGGTCAGTCTCAACTACATAGTGAGACCCTGTCTCAAACAAAACAAAACAACAACAACAAAAAAAAAAAAACCCAAAATTTAAAGAGCTTGTTTGATCCCTAAACAACTGACCTGTGAGGAGCAGGTGATTCTGTCCTAGCTGGATTCTGCTATTTATACACTGGTCGGTCCCTACCCTGACTCCTACAGGCAAGGGAGAGATGCTTTCTTCTCCTGGTTTCCACTTTTTTTGTGGCGGGGGGTACCAGGGATCGAACTCAGGACCTTGTACTTGCAAGGCAGGCTGTGGAACCACTGACCTAAATCCCTGGCCCATTTTTCTAACTGTTGTAATTTTCTGTACACACACACACACTTCCTTCGTGGGTAATGAGTGTGTGTCCTGCCATTTTCTATGCTCATGAAATTACGGACTCACCTATATAGCTATCAAGTCAATGCAGGTGATACTGTTGAATCTCACCTTTCTCACTTAGCTATAAGGTTAAACCAGGTTATGGTTGCACACCTGTAATCCCGGCACTTGGGAGACTGAGGCAGGAAGATCTCCATGAGTTCAAGGCCAGCCTGGGCTACATAGTGAGATCCTTTTAGATATTTACCTAGGAAACACGTGGTACCCTCTCTGTGGACTAGAACACGCTGTAATCACAGTACTGGCACGGTTGCTCCCTCTGTCCTCATGGGGACCTTATGAAATGGGTATCAGTATGGTCACCATCCTGTGTAAGGGGAAGGAAACGGGGCACAGAGGAGTGAAGGCAAATGCCCAAGTCACAAAAGCAGCATTTGAACTCTGACCAGTCCTTTCTCCCAAGGTGCCACAAATTCAAGGTCTTTAGTGGCTGGGTAGCCTCCCGGAGGGTCTACCTCCTTTTCACACCCATAGATAGCAACACCAGGGGTAGATAGGTGAGCCTGTGTTGTACTTTGCTCAGAAATTTTTAGAGGTGGTGCTGGAGGTTGAACCTAAAGCCTTAGATTGAGCTGCATTCCAGTCATTTTTTTTTTTCTTCTTCTTTTTTGTGAGACAGGGTCTAAATTGCTAAATTATCCAGGCTGGGCTTGTACTTGCAGTCCTCTTGCCTCAGCCTCCCAGAATGCTGGAATTATAAGGCCCAGATCCTGTTTCTGTTTTGTTTTTCTTCTCTAGTGCTGCGGATCTAACCCAGGACCTCACACATGCTAGGTTAAGAGCTTTACCGCTAAGCCACGACCTCTACAGACCTTTATATATAGGACCTTATTTTGACCTATGAACCTATTCCTTGGCTTTTTTTCTTTTCTTCTTCTCCTCCTTCTTTTTGTGGTACTGGAGATAGAACTCTGGCACTGAGCTACTTCCCTTTGTACTTTTCTTTTGAGACTGGAGCTTGTTAAGTTGCCCGGGCTAGCCCTGCCCTGCAATCCTGCAGCCCCAACGTCCTGAGGGCTGGGTTTCCAAGTGCGTGGCACCTCACCAGGCTGATTTGTTTTTCTGAAGCTTCACAGTGCTCAGTGGTGTGGAAGTACCGCTGTATACTGGGCTGGTCTCCGAGGGAGGATGCTGGGTGCTTTTCCAACATTTTGCCATCGTAAGTCATGCTGCACCCAGTGAGGTTTTACCCTCATCTTTTTTCCCCTGTGTGAGCACAACCCGAGAAGCAATTCCAAGAAGCGCAACTGCAGGTCAAAGGCAAGTGGCTCCTCAGAGGTGGTGCTGGTCTCTCCCCCTCCGGCAGGGCGTGGGCCAGCATTTCCTCTTTTCCTGAGACACAGACGCACTTGCTAATGTATGGTGGAAGGGGTCTCAAGGCAGTTACTATGAAGGAAGTGGAGTACTTTTTTCTTTCTTTTGTTTTGTTTTGGAGACAGGTATTACTGTGAACTTCAGGCTGGCTTCACTGTGTGGCCCAGACTGGCTGTGAAGTTTCAGTGATCCTCTTGCCTCAGCCTCCTGAGTGCTGGGCTTACACCATGCCCAGTTTACTTTTTCTTATACTTAAAAGTCATTTAGGGGCCGGGGATTTAATTCAGTGGTGCTGCTACCTGACTTGCAAATTCAAGGTCCTGAGTTCAATCCCATACCCCAAAAGAAAACAAAAACAAAAGCTGGGTGTGGTGGTGCACGCCTGTAATCCCAGCACTTGGGAGGCTGAGGCAGGAGAATCGCTGTGTGTTCCAGACCAGCCTGGGCTACATAGTGAGTTCCAGGTCAGTCTCAACTACATAGTGAGACCCTGTCTCAAAAAGCCAAAAAAGAAAATAACAACAGAAGCCATTTGTTTTTCTTTTACAGTCCATTCACCTACTTTGTAAGGCAGCTTTTTACTAGAAAGGCCACAGATGTTTGCGGAAGGAAACAGAGAGAAGTGTAAATGGTGCATGCCCATAATTCCAGCACTCTGGAAGGTTGAGGCAGGAGGTCCACAGGTTCGAGTCCAGCCTGGATAACTTTAATGACTAAATGAGGCCATATATCAAAACAACAAAAAAAATCAAAAGGGCTGGGGATGTACCTCAGTGTGAAAACCCTGAATTCAACCTCCAGTACTGCACAAAATGTAAGAAAAAAAAATCAGACTTTCATCATATACCTGCCAAGGAACGGCTCGGCTGTGGCGGGTGAAGGCGTCCTGTTCTCTCTCCCAGGAAGACAACAGGAATAAAGTCATTGTCATGAGAGAAAAGAAAAGAAAGTCAGGGGCAGGGAAGGGCTGATCCGCAGGTGAATGTGGCAGCTTGATGGAGGCTGGAGCCACCGCTAAAGGGCAGCTGAGGATCCTGCTTTACCCCTTCCTTCCCCAAAGAAGGAGTTGCTCACTCATCCATTCATTTGTCTGGTAAGAAATTGGCTCTGTGCTAGGTGGGCCCTAGGCTGGATGCTAGGGACTCTGGAGAAAGGCCATGTGGTGTATGCAGCCCAGTACAGGGGCTGAGAGAAGTAAAGAAGGAAACTGAAGCCGGGCATGGTGGCCTGTAATCCCAGCACTCAGGAGGCTGAGGCAGGAGGATCACCAAGAGTTGGAGGCCAGCCTGGGCTATGCAGTGAGTTCAAGGCCAACCTAGACTACATAGTGAGACCCTGTCTCAAAAAAACAAAAAGAGAAAAGAAAAGAAAAAAAAAAGAGAGAGAGAGAAGGAAACTGAAGTCTGGATGTGGTGATATGACTAAATCCCGGCTATTTTCGTGGCGATATGACTAAATCCCGGCTATTTTCGTGGCTGAGGCAGAATTACGAGTTCAAGGCCAACCTAGGCAATTTAGTGAGACCCTGTGTCAAAATTTAAAATTTTTTAAAAAGGCAGGAATGTGGCTCAATGATAGAGTACTTGCCTAGCATGCACGAGGGCCTGGGTTCAATCCCTAATACCACAAAGAAAAAAGAATGTTGGAAAATAGCAAAGGAAAGACCAGCAGCAAAACACAGCCTCTCTAGGGCCTGGAATGGAGATACCTAGAAAACAACAAGTTGGTGAAGAAAAAAAAAAGTAGATCTTTGGGAACCTGGAAAGGGCTGACAGGAAAACTAGACACTACAGAGAAGCTGGAGGGACAGCACAACAGAGCAAAGAATAAAAGCTGACCCCACTCCCAGCGGGGAGCAGACTCCACAGACACGATGGAAGCCCAAGAGGTTGGCAACTCCACGGACAAACGATGGACCAGGGCAGCAGGACTAGCCTCAGTTCCAAAACTCATGGTTAGGCAAACTCCGAAAACAGTACTGGGTTTTACTCTGAAAATGATTCCTTTTGCATGGAAGTTTAGAGGTGGAGAAGAAATCCAGCACCATGTCCGCCATATTCGAGAATGTTCTACCAGGAGGCATTTGGGACAGAGTTAAAATGGAGCTACAGACCAGCTACACTTCAGGGTTTCTGGGGCCACCGTACCACGTGACTGGATGGGAGACAACCACAAGAGACATCTGCAGAGAGGGCACGGGCTAGACATAGACCCCTGGAGAAGTTTAAACCCAGATCAGAAAGGACACAGGGGTCCCACCCTACAAGCTGAGAAGCCAAGCGGGTTGTGTGTGGCTTTCGGAGAAGGCTGGGTTTGAAAGGATTGGGATTAAGTGCTACAGACTGCCTGGCCTCTCACTCTGCTGCCTACATCTCAACAGCTTGGTGGTGTGTTTGCTCCCTCTATCAGCCAACATGATCATGGATATATCCGGTTTGGACAGTTGTCCCTGCCTGGGTGTATGGACAGAGGGGCCTTTGGAGCAGGGGGCACCTCACCAACCACAGGCCATAAAGCTAGCGGAGAAAGCCATGCGTTGTGTACAGAAGAGCATGGAAACTGGAAGTGGATGGAGTAAAGCCTTAGGGTGGGTACCACTGACTGACCACACCCAGCAGAAAAGGCCAGGCAGGATTCAGCATTCATACACACACATCAAAAAAAAAAAAAAAAAAAAACGAGATCTTAGCAGGGATCACTATCCCTACCCCACATCTGGTGGGTTCCAATACGACAGGCCCTAGAGGGAAACCACTCATTCAAAAACACAGAGAAGCCAGGCATTGTGACACATGCCTGTAATCTCGGCACTCAGGAGGCTGAGGCAGGAGGATCACACTAGGATCACAAATCCTGCCTGGGCTAAGTAGTGAGTTCAAGGCTAAACTGAACTGCACAGCAAGACCTTGTCTCAAAAACAAAACAAAATAAAACAAACAGAAAAAGACAAAACAAAACACACACAGAGAGAAATGTTTTTGGACTCATTTCTATTTTCTTCATGGGGTGTGTAGGCAATTTTTCTTTTTTTTTCCTTCGTTTTGCTGTCCTTTACTAGTATTACTATTATGCTTCTTCTTCCTTTTTTTTTTTTTTTTTCTGATACTGGGAATTGAACTCGGGTCCTTGCCCTTGCAAGGCAGGTGGCGGAACCACTGAGCTAAATCTCTGGCCACTATTATGCTTTATTAATCTTTAGCTTTTCTATTGCTAATAGTGATACAGTGGGTACATTTAGTAGATATTTATGGTACGTTGCTATTTGGCCTATCTTTATGCTGTAGTGTAAGTGCAGACCTCTCTGCTGTTATGACTGGTATAGCAGTAGCTCTTTCGGTTCTGATGGTGTCTCAATCAATAATACCCAGTTTAATTGACTCTGTTATTGTCACTCGTTGTGTTGTTTTGTCAACATGGCATAGATGTTGCTTTTAATTGGCTTTTACAGTATGTCACTGTCTGGTTTGTCTTTGTGACATCAACAGTACTCTGGTTCATTTCCCAGGACTGGGTGCTGGGCGATTACACTGTACCTCCCCTTTCCAGATTAACAGAGTGTCAGATTTGGGGATCGAACCAAAGGCCTATAGCCAGCTGTGCCTACAGCCTACAGCACATCTGGGAGAGCAGACACTGACTAAAGAGATCGCCATGCTGGAAACAAAGTTTTTCCACTATAATCAACTGTAACCCCCAGCATAAACAAACAAACAAATAAAAACAGATCAGGGCTGGGGATTTGGCTTAATGGTCCTGCTGCCTGTCTCACAAGCACAAGGGCCCAAGTTCGATACCCAGTACCAAAAGAATAAATAAATAATAATAAAAACAGATCAATAAGGTGCTTATTGAGCTCAAAGATGACATAACTAAATAGATAATAAACTTAATAAAATGACCAATGAGTTTAAATTTAGACTTAATAAAACAATCAATAATTCTTTTGCAAAGAATTAAAGTCCATATAAAGGTACCAAACAGAAATCCAGAAGATAAAAAATTCTACTGAAAAGCTTGGGCAGCAAATGTGACCAATGTGAGGTCAGAGTTTCAAAACTAGAAGATAAGGCTGATGCGTGTGATCATGTACTCAGGGATACTTTAAAAACAATAGGAAGGTAGGTGCGGTAGCTCAGGCCTGTAATCCCAGAACTCAAAGGAAGCTGAGGCAGAATTTGTGAGTTCAAGGCCAATTTGGGTGATATAGTGACTGTTTCAAAAAACAAAACAATCAACCAGGGATTTGGCTCAGTGGTTCTGGTGCCTGCTTCTCAAACTCAAGGGCCCGAGTTCGATCACCAGTACCCCCCAAAAAAACAAAAACCAAAACAATCAAACACGCATGCACACAGAACATGGGAAATGGATCCAACAGCTGCCAGATGAGGCAAAAAGTTAGTGAAAAATCAGGAGCCGGCGCAAATGGCATAAAAAACCTGCTTATAGAAGTAATAGCAGAAACATTTCAAAGTAAAGGGAAAAACTTTAGCATACAGATATAGAAACCGAAATAGACACATCAAAAAAACACTTCTCTACAACACATCATAGTAAAAATTCCGAATGTTCAGAAAGACAAAATCTTAAAAACTGTTTGAAAAAAATTGGGCTGGGGATTTAGCTCAGTGGTTCTACTGCCTGCCTAGTCTCAAATTCATTCCCTGGTACCAACAACAACAGCAAAGTAACAAATGACTTACAAAGGTAAACCCATTAGAATGACACTGGATTTCTCAACACAGACTTTTAAATCCTAGGAGAGGTTGGAGTAAAGTATTTCAAGCCCTAAAACAAAACAACTTCCAACCCAGACTAATATACACTGCCAAGTTATCTTTTTAAATCGATGACGAGATCTTTCCATGCCAAAGAGCACCTTAAGAAATTTGTGAAAACCAAACATGCATTCCAGAAAATTCCAGAAGGATATCCTAGAAAGAGGCCACAAAGCCAACAACACTAAAAAGTCAACGGAATGAAATATCAGTTAAGGTGAACAGGTAAGCAGAATAGGGGTGAGTGTGTGTGTGTGTGTGTGTGTGTGTGTGTGTGTGTGTGGAATCAGCAACAGGAAAATAATATTCCATGCAACAGAACACTGAAAAACAGGGGTAGCTATCTTATTTTCAGACAAAGAGGACTTCAAGCCAAAACTGATTAGAAGAGGCAAAAAAACGTCACTACAGATTGGTGAAGGGAATAATCCCAACAAGAGATAAGAATTATAAACACTGCCAGGTATGGTGGTGCATGCCTATAATCCTAGCACCCAGGAGGCTGAAGCAGGAGGATCACCAGAGTTGAAGGCCAGCCTGGGCTACATAGCAACACTGTCCCAAAATAAACAAAGGCGGGGCTTTTAGCTTAGTGGTGTTGCTGCACCTGCCTTGCAAGTGCAAGGTCCTGAGTTCAATCCCTACCAAAAACCAAAAACAAACAAACAAATATATGTACCAAATACCAGCACACCCAACTTCACAAAACAAAATACCAGACATAAAAGGTCAGAGTTCAAAGACAGCCTCAGCTATGTAGCCAAAACCTGTCTCAAAGAACCAAAATAAATGTGCAATTGTTTTTCCAATTTATCATCTCGCCTCCAGGCATGGAGCCACATGGGGAGGGAGGAGTCCTCCCATCCTCAGGAGAGGAAGCTGAGCAGAGGGGAATCACTTGCTGAGGTCTCCAGCTAGCAAGCAGCAGAGCAAGGATTTGGCTCAAACCTAGCTCCAACTGATTTTTGATTATTTTTTGGTACCAGGGATTGAATTTGGGACCTTGCACTTGCAAGGAAGGAGGCAGAACCACCAAGCTAAATCCCTGGCCCCTGATTTAGTTCTTTTGATTCAGTTTGAAAATACCTGGCTAGGACTTTTAATTTGTAATGTGGGCTTTCTTTCTTTTTTGTTTGTTTGTTTTGAAACAGGGTTTGTGTAGTTCAGGCTGATCTTGAACTATATAGCCCAGGCTGGCCTGGAACTTGTGTGGATCCTCCTGCCTCAGCCTCCTCAGTGCTGGGATTTATAGGCATATGTCATCATACTTGGCTCTCTCCTTTTATTTTTCACTTGTCTTTTTTCTTTTGAGAAAGGATCTCACTAATCTATTAAATTGCTAAGGATGGACTGATACTTGGAATCCTCCAGCCTCAGCCTCCCAGAGTGCTGGGATTACAGATATATGCATGCTGGCTTTTAACCTAGATTTTCCTAAAAAACAGTAAATGCGAGTTCTTTCTAAACATCTGCATTGTGCTGAAGCTATAGCAAGTGCATCTTCAAGGAAGGCTGTGTCCTGAGCCCTGTTTTTGAGCAGGGACGAGAGTCAAACAGCAAAAGTGGCTTAGTCATGGATAAACTCATGGCTCCGCCCCCAGACCTTCCCCTGGTCCCTGCCCCCACCTGCTGTGTGCTTTGTTGGGTGACTGGAGTTCTTTGGTCAATGGTGCTCCTCTTGCTTCAGCCAGAGCTCCCACCGCTGGCGAGGAACCCCATGAAATGCCACTGCCCCCTGCCCCTGACTGCAAAAATAACCCATGCATGTTCCTGTCAAGGAACCCTCACTCCTCTGGGACTCTAGTCTCTAAGGCGAGGACGCCTGGGTAACCACAAGGACACCCCTCCTCTGAGGTCAGCAGAAGATCAGACCAGGCAGGCATCAGGGGGCTGGAGGTGCTGGGTGAGGCTGCGAGCAGAGCTTGGGTGCAATCTCAAGGGGAGGGGATACATCACATGGTCCCCTCCTACAGCAGGCTGGGCCGAGATAAACCCCAGCCCCCACCCCTCTCCAGTCAAGCCTGAGGTCCAGGATGGCTGAGGCCCTGTCCTCAGTGGAGCCCCCCTGTGATGTGACCCAGTGGAGGCGCTGGGCCCAGGCCTAGCTGGGTGTGGTGGTGCACTGGGAAGCTGAGGTAGGAGATCAATGAGAGTTCAAGGCCATCTTGGGCTCCATGGTGAGTTCAAGGCCAGGAAGACCTTAAACACACATAGCAAGACCCTGTCTCAAAGGCCAAAAGAGGTTTAGGGAGCCAGGTGATCTGCCCAGGACCACAGGCTCTCCCACCTGGAAGGAGGCTGTTCTGGCTGGAAAGGGACAACCCAATGGGGCTTGCTTCACGGCTGCTCCCCACAACGTCTCAGCCCCTGAGGACACAGGCAGGGACCAGGCACCTTTCATCCGATTTCCTGTGGGGCCTGCGGGCCCAGCCGGGCAAGAGGGGAGGGGAAGTGGGGACTCCTGAGGCCTCCCTTACCCCGTGGACCGGACAGTGAGGAGGTGGGGAAAAGGTGTACCTGATAGGTTCCCATCCTCATCCTAGGATCAGCCCAGGAACCTCCGCTGCTGGCTGGCAGGCGGACATAGAAGGTATCCCGACTGCAGGGCTACTCAGAACCGCCATGAGGTTAAACAACAACTGGGCAGAGGTCAAAGGTGAACATCAGGAGGGGTGAGAGTAGAAGGGGTGTGTCTGGGAGTCTTCCTGATCTGTGGGTTTTAACATAACATTTAATTTCTTTGCCTTCTAGCTCTGTAAGATTCCTCTGGTAGGGCATGGTAGCCTACACCTATAATCCCAGCCTTCTGGAGAGGCTGAGACAGGAGATCACTGGGTTTGAGGGCAAGGTGGGTTACATAATGAGTTCAAGGCCAGCCTGACCTAGACAGTGAGACTCAAAAATAGACATAGGCTGGGGATTTAGCTCAGTGGTGCCACCACCTGCCTTGCAAGCGCAAGGACCCAAGTTCAATCCCCAGTACCAAAATAATAAAAAAACAAAAAAAGAAAACCGGATACAGGACACAGTCTCCAGCTTGCAGGGCAGGAAAACTTCCAAAACACATAGAAATGTACTGCGTAAACACCTTCCTGTGTCCCAGCCTGTCACCTGTCTGGCCTTCCTGGGCTCAGCTTGCTGTGCCAGACTCATGTGCTGGGCATAGTCAGGGGCTCAGACCCTGCAGGACCCTGGGGCCCTACGCCAGAAGCTTTTATTCTGAGCCCTGCTCCCTCCACAGAAGGGAACGTAGGCCTCCTCACACCAGTGTTTGGGGCTGATAAGTCCCATCCCCTCCCTAAGGGCCTGGGGAAGAAGGGGTCAGGTGAACTAGGAGCCAGTGGCTCCCGGTTTAGGACTTGCTTTGGTTGTTTTAATACAGTGTAGCCAGGGGCAATGGCACATAACTGTGATCCCAACTGCTCCGGAGGCTGAGGCAGGATGATCACAAGTTCGAGGGAAGCCTCCACAACTTAAGCTACTGTTTCAAAATAAAATATAAAGTGGGGTGCAGGGATTTAGCTCAGTGGCTCCTCCCCTGCCTCACAAGCACAAGGTCCTGAGTTCCATCCCTGGTATCAAAATAAATGGGGTGGTGGTGGCTGGGGGGGCGGTTTAGTGCAAAAGCTCTGGGTTTTAATCCCTGTACTGTAAACACACACACACACACACACACACACACACACACACACACACACACACGGTTTTGGGGGAAGAAGCAAAAGGGACATAGAAGGAATTAAGATTGCTACATACGTGTACCAAATCCCCAAGGATTGTTCTTTTTTTTGTTTTGTTTTTTTTTTTTTGGCTTTTTCAGATAGAATATCGCTTATAAGGCGGGCCTTGAACTCAACTTTATTTTTGACACAGGTTTGCACTTTGTAGCTCAGGCTGTACTCAAATTTGCATTGGTACTCCTGCCTCGGCCTCCTAAATGCTGGGATTACAGGTGTGCGCAATAGCTGGCTCCCCAGGGAATGTAATCATTATTTACTGGGAGTGTACTAATAAAGATAAAATATGGGGGCCTGGGATTTAGCTCAGTGGCAGTACACCTGCCTTGCAAGCACAAGGTCAGGAGTTTGGTACCAAAAGATAAAGTAAAATAAGGTTGGGCCGGGGATGTAGCTCAGTGGTGCCGTCAATTGCTCCAAAGCATAAGGTCCCAAGTTTGAACCCGGGTAACAAAAACGAAAAAACAAGTTGTGAAGAATGAATGGGATACTGGATTCTCATTGTTCAATCACTCCTAAAAAGTTTGTGTTAAGTGGAATAACTAAGGGGTCAAGAATACAAAACCCGGCTGTGTAGCTCTGCATACCATGGACCCAAGCCCTGGGTTTCACCCTCAGCGCCGCAAAAGAAAAAAAGAAAAGCTAGGCTATTGGTGTGATGACGCACAACTATAATCCCAGCACTCTGAGGCTGAAGGACCCTAAAACCCAGTCCAGCCTGGGCACCAGACCCTGCCTCAAAATTTAAAAAAGGGCTGGAATTGTTGCTCAGTGTGAAAGACCTGGGTTCAACCCCCCAGTACCACAAAATAATAAAGCAAAACCATTTTTAGGCCTCTTCCTTCCTTCAGAGAAGAAAACATTTTGAAGAACCGGCCAGTCCCCAGTTTTCCCTCAAGCTAACACTCAAAACCTTCGCGCCCCTCATCATGGATTCCCAGCCACAGTGGGCCGAAGCATCCTCTCCAAATTCTTAGTGCCAGAACCCGGGGTGGCCTCCTGCGGGAGGGTCTCTGCAGAGGCCGCTTGGTGGACCAGGTAATGGCTGAGGCGGGTAGGCTCTGAACCAGTGACTGCGTCACACGTGCGCCATGTCCCCGTGAAGGCAGAGGCGGTCTCCACGGGCTGAGCGCCTCCAGGACTGAAGCAACACATCGTCAGGCCAGCTCGTTTGTGACACTTTTTTTTTTTTTTCTTTTTCTTTTTTAGACCGGATCTCACTATGGAGCCCAGGCTGGCCTCAAACTTGTGGCTGGGATCACGGGCGTGCACCACCACTCCGGGCATGTCTGTGCTTTGTTAGCGCAGTTCCATGAAGTCACAGGAACTGTACCAAGAACACACTGCTCTTCACAGGGTCCCCGCTGAGCCCCGTGAATCCACCTTCCCACCATCTCTGTGCAGCCAGGCGGCCTTTCCACTCCTCTGGTCACTTCCTCCACTCGGCAGCCTACGTGACCTTTCCAAGTCACAATCTGTCATTCCAGCGAGTGAACGCTCCAGGCCAACTGTCAGGGCGTCTGTCAGCCTCAGCACACGGGAGCCATCGGGGTAGTCACAGCTCACAGCAGACCCTGGAGGCTTCGCTCATCGGGGAACTAAGACACCCTTTCTCAGACACCCAGAGGTCAAGGGGCACCACAGCACCCCCCCTCTGGAATGCATGTGTCCTGCAAGGTGGGACCAGGTGTTGCAGCTCGTGTCGATGCCCCCCTAAGGCCCCACACAGTCACAGGTGCGAGTGTCAAAGGTGGCTGGATTGTGGACTAAGGGTGTCCCACCCTGGGTGTTGGTGGCACTGAACGTCAACCTTGCTGTTTCCTTGCCAGAGACTTTTCTCCTCAGCCAGGCCGCCCTGCCTTGGAGCCAGCCAACTATGGACTGATAACCTCTACAAACTGTCAGCCAAAGAAACCTTTCCCCCTGTAACTTGTGGGTATTGGTATTTTTGTCTCAACAAGAGAAAAGTAACTAAGACATCAGGGGGTTTAAAAAAAAAAAAAAAAAAAAAAAGGAGGCACAGGGCCAGGTGTGGCGGTGCCTATCTGTATTCCCAGCACTCGAGCGGGTGAGACAGGTGCACGTTTGAGGCCAGCCTGGGATACACAGAGAGTTCAAGCCCAGCCTACACTACAAAGCAAGACGCAGTCTCCAAATCCGGAAGAAAAAGAAAGAAGAAAGCATCAAGACCCCTGGTGACTTCACACACCAGTTAACTGCTGGCTACAAACTAAGAGATGGAGGTCTGAACTCAGAAAACACAGCACTGGGCTGGGGATTTAGCTCAGTGGTTCCGCCATCTGCCTTGCAAGTGCAGAGACCCAAGTTCAATCTCTGGTACCAAAAAAAGAAAAAAGAAAACACAGCACTTACTGCAAAAGAAAAAAAAGGTCAACTTTTAATTATAACTGATCAAACTTCATCCAGGAATGTCTCTGAACTGAGGCAAAAAACACGATAAAATTCTCCTACCGAAGAAACCAAGAGTCCTAGTTGGCCCTGGCGCTACTCCCAAGGCCGGCGAGGGGCCTGTCCCCTCCTCCAGTCACGCCAGGCTCTGTGGAAGTCAATTCTCAGTGAACCTCTCCGGCCTCACTTCCTGTCCTAAGGTGACTGGAGACCCTCTGGGCACATCCGGAAACCCAGAACGGGGTGCAGTACCCCTGTGCCACCCCAGCCTTCAGCCGGCCACTTCAGTCTGCTTGGCCAGTGGCTTCAGATGGCCAGGCAGGGATTAAATAAAACGTGGTAAAGAACAGAAGTGCCGTACGTTGTCCACAATGCGAGTCACGCAAGCAGAGGTGAAAGGACGGCACTAAAGACGGCAGCCCGGCCGTCAGAAGACGCGCTCAAACTCCGTCTGGTTGGTGGTAGCCGGGTTGCGGCTCTGGTTGGTAGTCTGCTGGGTGATCTGGCTGCCCTTCCGGCGTGGCGGCGCCAGGTACTCGAACATGGACGTCAGGTGGGTGGACAGCATGCCCTTGAGGTCCGAGGGCATGGGGTCGGACCAGAAGAAGTCGTGGTTGAGGGCATCGTCACTGTCGATGCGCTGTGCAGGGTCCAGGACCAGCAGCTTGTCGATGAGGTCCAGGGCATACGGGTCGCGCACGTAGGCCTTCAGCCTGTCTTTCACCTTCCGCTTCTGGCCCTTGACCAGGTCCAGCTTCTCAAACAGCTCGTACTTGTCCACGTTGGGCCACACCTAGGAGGGAGGCATTGACAGGACGGAGTTCGCTCACCTGCTGCTCCCAGACCCCTCCGCGGGGAGGGAAGCGGTGGGCACAGACGCGGCACACACCAGTGCCAGTCCTTTCACCACCTCCGTCGCCCATGCCAATCAACCCTGACACAAGCACATGCTCTCTTTTCGGTAATCCTGGGGATCAAAGCCAGGGCCTTCCCACTGAGCTACATCGCGAGTTTTTATTTCATTTTGAAACATATCTTGGTATGTCATTAAGCTGCCTGGGATAGGATAGAACTTGCAATCCTCGTCAGCCTCCTACAGTGGTGAGACAGATGCGCACCACCAAGCATATTTGTTTTTGTTTTTGATTTTTTGGCTTGAGACAGGGTCTTGCCATGTAGCTGAGACTGACCTGGAACTCACTATGGAGCCTAGGCTGTTCTCGAACTCAAAGCGATCCTCCTGCTTCAGCCTCCCGAGTGCTGGGATGACAGGCGTGGGCCACCATGCCCAGCCAAGCGTATCTGCTTTATAGAAAAGAAACCTAGGTGGTGTGGTAGCGCACCCCTATATTCCCAGCACTGGGAGGCTGAAGCAGGAGGACGGCGAGGAGCTTGAAGCCAGCCTGGACTACATAGTGAGTTTAAAGCCAACCTGAGGCCAGGCATGATGGTGCACACCTGTAATCCTAGCACTCAGAGGCTGAGGCAGGAGGATCGTTGTGAGTGAGACCAGCATGGACTACACAGTGGGTTCCAGGGCAGTCTCAACCACATACTAAGACCTGTCTCAAAAACAAACAAACAAACAAACAAACAAAGCCAACCTGAACTACACAGCAAGACCCTGTCCTGAAAAACACCCAAAACAGGAAAGCAGAGAAATCTAGCACTGATTTAAATCCTCTGCCACAGGGCCACAAAGCTATCTGATGTCAGGCTGAGACTCAGACACAGCCCAGGAGGCTCCAGAGCCCAGTGAGAGAGGCTCTGCTCTCCTGCATGCCATGCCCCACCCTGCTGCCCTGCAGCCCCGGGCCCCCTCAGCCTAGCCACGCACCTCAGGGGTGATAGAGCCGCAGAGCTGGCTGATGAGGGCGAGCTGGTGCTGCTCCGTGTTGCCCTGCATGATGGGGCTGCGGGTCCACATCTCAGCCATGATGCACCCTGCGCCCCACAGGTCAATGGGCGGACCGTAGTCCCGCTCCCCTGGGAAGAAGAGCGCACCGGGAGGGCCCCTTGAGCCAGGCGGCCTCCAGAGACGAGGTGCCCTGGGGCCAGAGGCCTAAGAAGCCCTGGCAGTGAGAGGCTGCGGCCAGGTAGATGCCTGGCCCCTGCCCCCCTCTGCCAGCTCGGGATCCTCACCGAGCAGCAGCTCCGGGGGCCGGTACCAGAGCGTCACCACACGGTTGGTGTAGCGGTTGGGCTGGCTGTTCTTGGCCAGGCTGAAGGCCCGGGCCAGCCCAAAGTCGGCCAGCTTCAGGACCCCGTCCCGAGTGATGAGCACATTGGCGGCCTTCATGTCCCTGTGCAGGATCTGCAGGGAACGGACGGAGGGCTCAGCCGGGCCCCAAGGGTCCTCAGCCGCACCGGCTCGGCCACAGCCCGGGCCCCGCTCCCCACCTTGTTCCTATGGATGTAGTAGAGGCCGTTGAGCAGCATCTGCATCACCCTCTTGATCTCAGACAGTGTGAACTTGACTAAGACGTTGCTGAGCAGCCCAGCGAGGTCGTGCTCGCAGAAGTCGAACACCAAGTATATGCTGCCCTTACAGCGGTTATACGGGGAGGCTGAGGCACAGAGGGCAGGATGGAGTCAAAACTAAGCCCACCACCAGCTCCCACCCCCAGCCTGCGGACACCTGTGGCCTCTACAGCACCCATGGGTGCAACTGCTTCACCGGTGGGCACCAGGGCAGGTGGGGAAGCAGTGGGAGAGGCAGAGTCAGCAGGAGGCAATTTAAGAGCTTCCAGCTTGAGTTTTGTGTAGGGTCGGCTGGCTGAAGCCTCATTGTCTCACACGATCACAGCAACTCACCTTTGGTTCGACAAATCTCAATCAAGTTGACCACATTCTCGTGCTTGAGAAGCTGGAGGATCTTGATTTCCCGCAAGGCTGTGATGGGGAACTGGGAGGAGAAAGAGAGAAAACTGTCAAAAGTGAGAGAGCTACACACCCAAACTGCCCCCATGTCCACACTGAGGGACCCCGGTCAGGGGGCAGAGGGTGATGTGCTCTGACATCAGCTGTCTCAGATGCCCAACCTACAAAGTGGGCGTGATAGTAGCACACATGCCTCAAGGAGCTGGTTTGAGATAATGAACTGAAACAGGCATAAACACTTAACTAAATGTTAGTAAACTATAAAATTTTAAACTTAAATTTAAATTTTTAGGGCCAGGGATTTAACTCAGTGGCCCATGCCTGCTTTTGCAAGCACAAGGTCCTGAGTTCGATCCCCAGTACCAAGAAAAACAAAACAAAACAAAACAAAACAAAAAAACACCAAAAAGCCCCCCAATTTAAATTAAATTTAAATTTTAAAAATTTGGGGTTTTGCTATGTAGTCCAGGCTGGACTTGAACTGATGGTGATCCCCCTGCCTCAGCCTTCCAAGCCCAATGGCTGTTTTTCAAGATTTAAGAAATCAGGCCGGACATGGTGGCGCACGCCTGTAATCCCAACACTCAAGAGGCTGAGGCAGGAGGACCGCTGTGAGTTCAAGACCAGCCTGAGCTACATAGTGAGTTCCAAGTCAGTCTCAACTACATAGTGAGACCCTGTCTCAAAAAAACAAAAACAAAAAAACAGAAAACAAAACAAAAAAAATCTGTGGGGAGTGGTGGTGCACACCTGTAATTCCAGCACTAGGGAGGCTGAGACAGGAGGATGGTCACAAGTTTGAGGTCAGCCTGAACCAAAAAGAGACCCTGTCTCAAAAAACAAAACAAAAGATTATAAGAAACTCCCTGCAGGGTATGGTGGCACATGACAATTATCCCCTAGCACGAGGGAGGGGTGAGGCTGGAGAACATAAATTCAAGGCCAGCATGAGCTACACAGTGAATTCAAGGCCAATTCCAACTCCACAATGAGTACAAAGCCAGTCTGGATTACACAGTGAGATCCTGTCTCAGAAACAAAATAAAGATTAAAAAATTTTCTTGCTGAGAAGTAGGCCTCTAGGAAGATAGACTAAAACTAAGAAGGGGTGAGGAGAGAAACCACGCCTTTTTGATACATTTCCCAAGTTCCAGTGACTTTTAAAAAACTACATGCCCAGGCAGGGGATTTAGCTCAGTGGTTCCACTGCCTGCCTTGCAAGCGCAAGGTCCGAATTCACCCTAGTACCCCGCCAAAAAACACAACTATATGCCTTGCTAGGTTCCGTAGTGCACTCCTACAATCCCAGTACTCAAGAGGCTGAGACAGGGGGATCACCCTGAGTTCAAGGCTAGCCTGGGCTACAAGGTGGGTTCATGACCAAACCCTATCTAAAAAGAAAAAAAAGAAGAAAACAAACAGCTAACTATATGTTAGTGCTTTCCTTTCACATTAAAAAAGTTAAACTCTAAGGTAAAGCTATTTAAAGGTTGCTCAATGCCCACAAGCCAAGAGCCCTCCATGCAAGCATCCCCGTAGCTCCTGGGCCTCCCCGTAGTTGCCTCACACTGAAACGTCAAATGCCTTACAACAATCGAGCTTGAATTTTGGAGACCCCTGTAATATAGACATCTCCAAGCTACCAGATACAAACTGAACCTCAACGTGAAACTCCTAGAAACAATGGGCGAAAACCCAGGCTAGGGCAGCGGGCGCCCGGGACCCATACTCACCCCCTCCTTCTCGTTCTCCATCAGCACTTTCTTCAATGCCACCTTCTGGCCGGTCTTGCGGTGCTTGGCCTTAAACACCTCCCTGCAGACGAAGAAGGAGCGCCCGGGGAGCTCAGCGGCGATTCCGCAGGGCCCGCCCCTCCCCCAAAGCGGGGGG